ATATATATATATATATATATATATATATATATATATACATAGAGTTGAATATTTAAAAAATATATATTACAGTAACATTAAATAATATTACGCGCTTATAGGGAACACTCATGGATATTCATCGTCACGCGAGCGGAAGGGTCAAGATTATATTATATTGCATAGTAGAATCGGTATGGTTCATTTCAAGTAATCGGAGTCTGTGTATTTTATATATAAAGGGCTTGCGCGGTCGAAAAGGATTTGAGTCTGACGGGACGTTCATGCTCGAATCCAGCGTGGCAGTCAAAATGTTAACACATTGCGTACAGCTCAGGGAGATATTTCGTGTTTGAGAAACCGTACATTGAAGTACGGTATCTCGGGCCGGCACGAGATATCTCATTTCCGTGCAATATTACATAATCGCGTACCGATAGTGGGTTAAATTTGAAGTAATTTGGTACGGTTGCTCGGTTGCGATAGTAACAGGACTTGATGCTCAACTGCAACGAAAGTATGCCGAGCAAAAATGTCGCATATATAAAGGCTTTCGCACGTAAGACATTTTTAATCATAATCGTAATTCCGCGAGAAAACTGACCAATCACAGTCGATTATTCTTCGAACGTGAAGAGAATAATCAACTGTGATCGGTCAATTTTCTTACAGATTTACGGTTACGACTAAAAATTTTTTATGCGCAAAAACCTTAAAGCATAATCTACAATAGACAGTAGGAGTATGTTCATGTCATAGGAAGAATAAAAAATCGACCAATCATATTCGAATGTAAGGAAAATAATCGACCGTGATTGGTTAATTTCTTATTCTTGCTTCTTGTAAACATACTCATACTACTTATTCCCAGACAGCACAAATCTCTTAGAGAAGTCTTGAGAATGTCCTGAGGACGTGCCGATGTCCTAAAGACGCCCACAGAACGTCCATGGGATATCGTGTGCTGTTTGGGTTGTAGACTACAATTTAAAGATCTGTTATATATAGTTAAACTGGCTGTACTAGCTTGCATTAGTTCTATCTCTCTCTTGATCTGTTCTTTATAGATGCGCTGCTGAACTAGTGCAATATGTTGAAGTGAGACAAATATATGTTTTCTCACTTCAACTTATTACACCAGTTCAGCAATGCAGCTATGAAGGACGGACCATCTCTTTCTCACACGAAGTCACAGCTATATAACTGTTTCTTTTCTTTTAAGTTTCAAAAGTGTGCATTAGTTCAGAGACCAAGAACAGACGTGCAACGTGTTGGCCCTGGGAAAACACGCCGTACACAATGTGTCAGTGATCAACAGGACGCACCGAGATATGTATTAATAGGTAATTGATGATTATATCCCGTTCACACGGAATATCCTTAATTTGCTATTGTCAAAGCCTTATTTTTAAACGTACATATCGCGTATCCTTAATAAATAATATGTGACTATATATAAAAAAATCGTATATATTATGTCACTCTGTCAGGCAGTTATGCTAAATTACAATCTAGTTAGTAGACAAGATCACCTCGTTATTATATAAATTTTAAAAACTAAATTTATATAGCGGATACACACGTGCGCGCGCGCGATTTTCTCGCTTCTTTGGAATTTCATTCTAATATTTTGCTCTAACATTTTAGTAATCCCCATTGAAAAAAAAAACCAGGTGGGAATCCATATAGGAAATCCACGTGGAATTCCATGGTTGCTCCTAGAGATTTGCGCCAAAAACCCAGGTCTTAGATAGGAATTCCACGTGGATTCCTATATGAATTTTCACAGACCATGCAGATTCCTATGTGGATTTCTATATACTACGTGGATTCCTACGTGAATTTGTATTATTCTGCACGGATTCTTACATGGATTTCCGTGGAAATCCACCTGGAAATTTTCAACAGGGATATGCACAATGGTACTTTTTGGAAACTATGCAACAAATGTATTATATAGATACAATATCTATATATAATAATTACCTTCATTATTTAAAATTTCCGACCAAATTATACGAAAAAATTCGAACCTTTTATACAACTTTTCGTATTGTCCTACTATATGCCTAAATAAGTCGAAATTTTATAAACAATTTCCAATACGATAAGCGGGATATACTACGATTGATGTACAGGAAGAGAAGAGGCATTTAAAACCTAAAAGCGTAGCTATATAAAAAGACGCGTAATTTATAGTAACTGTAAATATCACCAAGAATATTAAAAAGTACAAATGCCGGTTCTCCTCGGAGCATTGTCAATGAGAAGAATTTATTATCAGATAAATTTCATTCACTTCATAATACGATTATGTTTCCTTATATTATGCGCATTACGATACTGCCCTAATATTGATAATAAATATATATTATTAAAAAAACAATCTCTTTTATGTTCATTAAAATAATATTCATTATAATGATATTCACTATAATGATTATGATATCTATAACAATATATAGAGATTTTCTGCATACACACACACATATATATTCAGAGAATCTCCACATATTATTATAGACACCTTATTACTATAACGATGTTATATTTATTATAAATAAATATGATAACAGATTTTTGTCTATTTTACTTAGTTTGTTTGCTTTGATTAGTCTTTTTAGTTTTGGCTTCGATCTTCTGCTCTAGTTTTTTAATCAATTCGTCCAATTCGTCCTGGTAAACGAGAAATAGGATTAGACGTCTCATTCGCAACCAGCTCGCGCTGCCAGTTTGTTAATACGACTAATGAAACACAATCAAACGCGTTATACTTACTTCATTGTACGTATACATTAAGACGCAATGCTTCAAAAGTTGCTTTTTACGATTGAGTAATTCCAGTGCGTGCGGTAGACAGTAAAAAGTGTCCTCTTGCGTATTGGTCACTATTGACACGAATAAATTGGCTCTACACGTCTCGCATTCGTAATCATCGTCGTCCTCTTTCACCTTCTTCCCCTTCTTCTTCTTCTTTCTACCTGGTAGAGGCACTCTTTCTTTCTTGTTAAGGCCCAGGTCTTCTAGCTGTTTACGATACTCTAATTCTCTGTTATGAATCCTTAGGACACTTGGCAGTATCTGCAAGTATACGGCACTGATGTAGCAGTAGACGGTTAAAATTTGCCGGTCAATTTGTCACGTTACAAAACTGACCACTATTCTCGAACGGCCGGACAAGTGATATTCCGACGACAACACATACCCATACAAACAAATGATACGAGTACACAATCTTATATTTGTCGAGTCTGCTTCGCAAAATTCGTAGTCGTACCGATCAAATCAATTCCGATAATATATAAATATTACACATACCTGTTTCAATATATCTAGCTGAGTATATCTCGGATCATTAATAATATTAAATAGCAATCTCTCGAATGAAAAGATAGAGGGTTCGCAACTGTCTTGTATATCCTGAAAGCACACGATAATTTAATTTTAATTTTGCTTATTAACGAGGTCCTCGAGTTGCGGATTACACACGGGTGAACGTTGTGTGCGTACCTTGAACACTTGCTCGGCGGTTTCTAACCAGGATGGTTGCGCGAAATATACACTTTCGGATACCACGTAACCGGTACATATGCTCGACGTGAACGCTTTTGGGAAGACGATTATGAACTGTCCTGGCTCCTGCACAGTCTGGCATAAGGGTACATCGTTGTCTATCAGTAATTTCGGCGGTACCATGGCGGTATCGGATGGTAGCCATATCGTTTTATTTTTGCAATATTGCGGCACCATCTTCGAGAGCGCCTCCCGGAAATTGTTGTTGTGCTCATCCGGTATCCCGTACCAGATCTTCTTCGCGCCCGTATGCAGATATTCGATCCACGGCAGACCGTGAGGATCCCGGTACCAGCAGCAAGCGCTGAATAACATACCTACGTGCAGCGTTGGCACAGTTACACCTGAAAGTGTAAGATTACGTATCGGTCGCATAAACAGATATCGTTGACGCATCCTCCGTTAAAAAGGAAGTAGGGGAGACCCGGGCTGATCATGAGGCAGGCAGGTACATTTAACACAGCTCTCAAACGACAATATTGCATGGAAAATATAATATTATCGCAGACACATTGTGATTAAGTTTCAACGACCATTTTTCAAAGTCGCACAGCGACTTACTTCTCAAGATAATATTTTAATTTTATATACTCGGAAGTGAAAAAATCAATGATACATGTTATAATTCTAAAACATAGTCTATAAAGGAAGACCAATCATAGTCGATTATTCTCCTTATATTCGAATATTATTATTATTATTATTATCAGTTTCTTATTCTTACTTCTTATGAATATACTCCTACCGCCCATTGTAGGCTTTAATCTTGTCTACATACCCATCACTGGACCCAAAGCTCTCAATACCGATCCGGCGTTGTTAGTGAGCACCTTGAGATTCCACGAGTGTCTGGCGAATGGACTGTTCTTGGCGACGGGGAAGCCGAATCCACGTCCGCTCGAATCGATACTCGCCGCGTGCACGCACACATGCCGTTTCCTCTCGACGACATGTCTCCAAAATGCACTCTCCACTTCCAGTGCGGAGGCGCCTTCGGTTTCGTTGTTGCCGCCTCGTTGATTTTCACCGAACCACATGCGTTGCGTGTTACGTGCGATTCGGTAGAAGGCATTCAACGGCATGTTTCTCCCCTTCGGTATATTAAAATATATAACATATTAATGTAATTATTAATTATATAAATTATCAATGTAATAATTATACTGTGTATTCCCTCCGGATATTCTTCTTAGCAGAAATCCGATGAAAGATCAATTTCTTGACTTCGACATTTTGCATCATATTTCTCTATCTAAATTGTATTTTCTATACCTACACTCCCCCCCCCCCCCCCCC